AAAAAATAGCCGAATGCCTGTAGTCCCAACTACTCAGGACTGCTGAGACAAGAGAATCGCCTAAGCCCAAGAGGTGGAGGTTGCTGTTAGCTGTGATGCCACAGCACTCTACCGAGGGCAACAAAGTGAGATTCTGTCTCTTAAGAAAAAAAAAAACTAAACTAAATTCTCAATACTACTGCAACCTACAGATATTATTTTCTACAAGTCCTCATAATGAGAATTTGTTTAAGTCCCAGCTTTAAATGATTAAGTGATGACAACCTAGGTAAGTAATTAAGGAAGAGTAGAGATAGAAACACCTCTTCCTGGCTCAGTGCCTAGCTCAACCGGCTAAGGCGCCAGCCACATACACCAGAGCTGGCAGGTTCGAATCCAGGCCAGGCCTGCCAAACAACAATGACAACTACAACCAAAAAATAGTGGGGTGTCTGTGGCCGCAACTGTAGCCTCTTGGGAGGCTGAGGCAAGAGAATCGCTTAAGCCCAGGAGTTGGAGGTTGCTGTGAGCTATGATGCCACAGCACTCTACCCAGGGCCACAGCTCAAAGCTCTGTCTCAAAAACAAACAAACAAAAAGTAAGAAAAAAGAAACACCTCTTCCTGGGAAGGCAAAGGAAATTCCCAAGAGACAATGTGAACCATTTGGCCCCACAGTCACACCCAAAAGTAGGGCTTGTCAAGTAGTTGTGGACTATTTATGAGAATCACTGGAACCAGTTTTGGTTATAGACAGTTTTGCACAATTTTCTAGTCATCTTTAAAAGCAGACCTCCGATATTTGTTTTCCTTTAAGTAAACAGTAAAATCCAATTCTGCAGTTGATCACTCATGGTCTTTATAAAAGAAAGTCGTGCCCGACACGTTTCCCTAAAACCCTGGATTTTTTAAGAGATGACCTTCGTTTCCCTGCTATCCAACCCTGGAGAAGAGGTGGCTGGTTCAGCCCTTCCACCCCTCTAGCCTCTGCCCAAAAGCCAAAGACTCCACTGTGGCTGTCAGTAGTAAAGTGATGATTAGAAAGGGGTTATGGCAGGTCAGGGACAACATCTGGCAGCGCACTAAAGCAGCCAGAGTCCAAGAATGTCATCGCAGCCACCTGCATACAACCTGCCCACTTTCCTGTTCCCACGGCCACGAGCGCAGCCCGGTCCTCTCTGCGGACACTTACCTCCGGCCAGAAAGGAACGCAGCCAGTAGAAGTCTCGGCGGGCGGTGGGCCCTCCGGTCCCTGCCCCCTGCGGCATAGCGGAAGGAGGGTCGGCCGCTGTCAGAGTCGCCGCCGCCGCCGCTGCCATTAGGAGCAGGGCCGCCTTAGGAGAGTGAGGGACAAACTTACTAACTACCGGTAGGGATCATAGCCGGGGAAGGCGGTAGGAAAGAGAGGCCGTCCGCCTCGCCGGCGGGGCCGAGTAACGCCCGGCGCCGCGGCGCCATCTGATGGCGTCGCCAGGGGCGGGGCCTGGGTCACGGCCCGAAGGGGCCAGGGGCGGGGCCAAGGCGCGGAAGCAGGAGTCATCCAGGCTCTTAGCCTTCCCCTTCCAGCCTCAACCCAAATTCCTGCTGCCGTATGGCCAGCTTCTCTGCTCAGGCCTCTTCTGTTCAACCCCCCAAAAAGGAAGTGTTCCCAGCGAAAAGGTTCCATTGAAACCTTGGAAAGCTCTGGTACATCCGCTGACTAGTATTGACCATTGACCTGTAACCGCCCTTAGGGCTGTCTTCTGAGCCCACCCCCAAGATGCATCCTTTCCAGAACAAATATTTGGCTCCTCACTCTTTCCAGGAATTTTGGAACTTGTTTCTATTTCCATCTAAACCAGCTCTGCCTTCTCAGAGCTTCTCAATAGACCTTGTTATTGCCCTCTCACCCCCCACTAACCTTCCACTCCACCCCTACCACTTCTGCCAAAAAAATAATGTTAAAGCAGGTTATTCTTCCTTGAGGGCCCTACAAATTACAAACTACTTTTGCCTGTTAGGCCCTTTGGAATTTGTTTGTGTCTTCAGCTTAGTTCTTAAATTCCACTCAGCACTACTTCCTACCAAACCCAGGTCTCTGCTCCTAGGAACATTCCAGTTTCCTCTCCCTGGACCCAGCAGTACTCCAAGAATTTTTTTGAGAGCTCATTTTGTCACCCTCAGCAGAGCTGTGGTGTCATAGCTCACAGCAACCTCAAACTCTTGGGCTCAAGTGATTCTCTTGCCTCAGCCTCTCAAGTAGCTAGCTGCGCCTACAGGTGTAGTCCACAACACCTGGCTGTTTTTTTGTTGCAGTTGTCATTGTTGTTTAGCAGGCCCAGGCTGGGTTCTAACCTGCATGCCTTAGTATGTGGGTGGCGCCCTAACCACTGAGCTAAGGGCACCGACCCAATAGGATGTTTCTTAAACTGATAGAAGCCATCTACAACAAACCCACAGCCAATATCCTACTGAATGGAGTAAAACTGAAAACATTCTCACTTAGAGCTGGCACCAGACCCTCTATGGACACTGCTGTTCAACATAGTGCTGGGCTCGGCACCTGTGGCTTAAGTGGCTAAGGCGCCAGCCACATACACCTAAGGTGGCGGGTTCGAAAATCCAGCCCAGGCTCACCAAACAACAATGATGGCTGCAACCAAAAAATAGCTGGGCGTTGTGGTAGGTGCCTGTGGTCCCATCTACTTGGGAGGCGGAGGCAGGAGACTTGCTTGAGCCCAGGAGTTGGAGGTTGCTGTGAGCTGTGATCCGACAGCACTCTACCCAGGGGGACAGCTTGAGGCTCTATCTCAAAAAAAAAAAAAAAAAAAAATGGCTCGGCGCCTGTGGCTCAAGTGGCTAAGGCGCCAGCCACATACACCTAAGGTGGTGGGTTTGAATCCAGCCCAGGCTCACCAAACAACAATGATGGCTGCAACCAAAAAATAGCTGGGCGTTGTGGTAGGTGCCTGTGGTCCCATCTACTTGGGAGGCGGAGGCAGGAGACTTGCTTGAGCCCAGGAGTTGGAGGTTGCTGTGAGCTTTGATGCCACCGGCACTCTACCCAGGGGACAGCTTGAGGCTCTGTCTCAAAAAACAAAAACATAGTGCTGGAAGTCCTAGCCAATGCAATCAGACAAGAGAACAGATCAAGGATATTCAAATAGGAGAAGAGGTCAAAATCTTGCTATTTGAGGATGACATGATCTTCTACCTGGAAAACCCCAGGGACTCAACCACAAGGTCCCTAAATGCGATCAAGAAATACAGTAATGCATCAGGATACAAAATCAATGTCCACAAATCAGTAGCCTTCATCTATACCCATAGCATTCAAGCAGAGTTGTTCTGTTTTTAGTAGAGACAGCGTCTCACTCTTGCTGAGGCTGGTCTGGAACTCCTGAGCTCAAGCAATCCACCTGCCTCAGCCTCCCAAAGTGCTAGGATTACAGGCATGAGCCACTGCACCTGGCCCAACCATGTGATCTCTAATAAACCAAACAAAAGCACACAGTGGGAAAAAGAATCCCTATTTAATACAGGGTGCTGAGAGAACTAGTTAGCCATATATAGAAGACTGAAATTGAACTTGTCCCTCTAACCACTGAGAAAAATCAACTCTTGCTGAATAAAAAATTTAAATTTAAAACAGGAAACAATAAAAATCCTAGAACAGGCTGGGTGAAGTGGCTCACGCCTATAACCTAACACTCAAGGAGCCCAGACAGGTGGATCACTTGAGCTCAGGAGTTCAAGACCAGCCTGAGCAATATCCGCACCCCATTTCTACTAAAAATAGAAAAACAGGCAAAAGGCTCAGCGCCTGTAGCACAGTAGTTACGGTGTCAGCCACATATACCGAGGCTGGCGGGTTTGAACCCGGCCCCCGGCCAGCTAAACAGCAATGACAACTGCAACAAAAAAAAATAGCTGGTGGGGGGGTGGGGGGGGCCAGTGCCTATGGCTCAAAGGGGTAGGGCCCTGGCCCCATATGCTGGAGGTGGCGGGTTCAAACCAGCCC